ATCACACATATCTACATATATATATATATATACATTCTAAAATATGTTTCAAAAAAATATGATTTTCAGGGGTTTTTAATGAAAATTGAATTTTATTTAATTTTTCAAGAGAATATGTATTACAAAAGGGAACAACATAAAATTTATTATTTTCCAAATAATCATATTCATTCAGAATTTTAAGACCCCTGTTACTAAGGTGACCTAACTATTTTTCCATAATTCAGTATTATTTATTTCAGAATGATCAACTCCAGACCATGCAATTAGAGGAATAGAAGAAGTAACATACAGATCATTTTGCAATTCTGCCCTAAAAATTACCAAAGCCCCTTTTGTTATTTTCATGCCGTTTAAACCCTATTTTCCTTCTAGACCTAGAGTAAATAATCTAACACATGACAACAAATTGTTTGACAAACCATACACATATCTCACATCATTCAATTTGATCACATTCCCATATTTAAATTTCAAATTGGCAACACTAATTCTCTCAACTTTTCACACATGATTATCAGCTATAGTAACATAACAGTGTGTTAAAGTTTTAAATTTAGAAAAAATATTTTTCAAAGGTGTCGTATGGTATGTACATGCAGAATCAACAATCCATTCATTAGCACACAAAGAATTTGAAATTAAATCTGTCATAACAACAAATACATCCCCTAAATTTCGATTCATATAAGACAAATTGGCCAACTCATATACTTGTGTACTTTTATTGTTATGACTATTATTATCTCCAACCATGATTATCAAGTTTCCAAAATAATTTACTCAAAAACACTTTTGAAAAAATGAAAATTGTTTAGCAAAAACAATTTGTTTTAAAATATAGTTTATTAAAGAGATCAGTTTATAAATAATATAGATTATTTTAAAAAAAATTGAAAACCAAACAAACACCCAAGTCAAAGCACATCAACAACAATTCACATAAAACAAACACAACAGTCAAACACAAGAACAAATATATCACAAAATATTGCAATAGTAGGCAAACAATAACAAAAATACAACCTATCTATTACAACATTCATACAAGACTATTCCACCGAAGGTACTCAAGAATCACTCACAAGAGTGAGGATCGGAGTTTTGCAACCTTGGTATCATAATAGCCTTTACAATCGATTGAGCGGAATTTAAATGTAGATATTATACTAAGAAAATTAACAATAGTAATATAATAGTTAGGGTTATAATAGTTAGGGTTATAAAGTTTATCCTCGAAGGACAACAACAATATATTTTCTACAACAATACAAGGAAATATACAAATAACCTATTCTTTTTCAAGGATAGGGGTTAGCCAACTAATAACAACAAAACAGAAACAATTTTTCTCCTCTAACCAAAGTTAAAGTCATCGAAACTCACATATAGAAGATGACAACACAAAAAGAACAGAACATATACAGATACAAGGCCACAAAAAATGTCAGATTTAACAAGATCCTTGAAAAACAGTTTTGGCTTTAAAGATTTTAACCAAAATTAGTTACGACTTTAAAGATCTTAAACAGTTTTAACAAAAAATTTTAGATTTTTAACCCAACAAGCACAGATCTAAACAAAAATAAGGCGAAGTGACAAGTTTTACAGTTTATTTTCTTAAAATAACAACGGAAAAAATTGATTTTCACCAAATCAAAACGATTTTGAATCATTCTTAACCAAAATGGACTCGAACTTAACCGATCTACACAAAACAGTAGCGATTAAGTCCAAACCACACATTAACAGTTCGACCGTGGCTATATTAGCACGTACCGAAGCACACGGGGTCGATTTTGAACAAATCTAAGAGAAAAGAACCAAACACACCAAAAACAGGTTCGATCCAACCGGATCCTTTAGATCTTAAAGATTTGAATCCAAAAAACTTTACAAAATAAAAAATAAAGATAATTTTGTGAAGAAAATCTTCACAAAAAGCTCTGATACCATTTTCTATTAGAAATATAAGAACGGGTCGAAGATTTTATTATGAAATCGACAAAATATTTGACTAGATTTGATTAGGCCGTGCCCCAAATCAAACTCGGAACACATATCGACACAAAAATCACACCTAACTTGCGATTACGCATAAGAACCGGCCCAAAACACACGACACACACCAAAATGAACCCCCACAAAACATACAAGGGGAAACAAAACAAATACAAACGCCTACAAGTTGAACGAGCCCTTTGCGGCTACGAACAACAACAAACAGGAGAAAAAATGCACCACAGGAACTCCACAAGCTACAGAAGGAAAGACGTCGCCAAGAACCGCCGTGGATTGCTGGGAAAGGTCGCCGGAGAAGATGGACATAAAGGTCGAGAGAGAGGCTAGAGAGGGCGAGTATAGAGTGAGAGATAGTATCGTATCGAGTAATGGCTACCCATCTCACCATCCACATATATATATATATATATATCTAAGTTAAGAAACCCAACAGTAAAGATTAAAACCCCAAATTGGACGGTCAACGCAGCGTCTAGGAAAGATGCGGATCCTCAGCGGGTCGCGGGTAAGTCGGTAGCTTTGGGTCAAGCACAAGATCGGCCAGAAGGTCGCGGGTCGTAGGTTGGCTCATGGGTAAGTGAGATCGGTTCTGGAAGATGGGTCACGGGGTGCATATGTGGGTCTCGGGTCAGGGCCATGGTTCTAATGGACTACATAATTGGATGTGTGTCTTATTTGGGATGGATCCAATTGGACAAAAAAAATTCAATAATATTATTTTCATAGACCAAAATTTATAACAATCCTCCACTTAATTCTAGTCAAGGGTGACTAGGGTCATCATCTTCCACTACAAAAAAAATAGTATATTAGTAACGAAATTTCGTTCCTAAAGTGTATGTAGTTAACACAATTCCCTCTCTAATTCCGTCTCTAATGTCTTTAGTAACGGAAAAAAGGGATTTAGAGACAAAAAAATCTTGTTACAAAATTGATATTTTTTTGTAGTGTTCCAAATGTTGGATTACTTTTTGGCACAAAGAAAAATACATAACAGTTAGTCAAAAATATTAATTTAGCCTTAAATCTACATAAATATATTAAAGTAAGAAAAAATTCAAATAAAATAAAAAATATTATCATTCCAAGGCATTAGATCCACAACAATAGGAAAATATGCAAATCCAAACACAGTGAAAACTAGTCTAAATTGTAAATGTGTCGTACACCTGAACTTATAAAATACAACATTAGTTAACTTTCTAAATTTCATATAATTTACAATCAATTATAATATAACACAAAGAAACCAACACATGGTTTAGAAATCGAATTCAAAATTTCATTATCAACCAATGAATTTATATCTTTTTTTTAACACCATATATTAAGACTTATTTTCAAAATTAATTATTTCCTAAACAATCATAGCTTCATTTATATATAAGTTTTCAAATATATCACAAGTTAAACAAGATAAAGCCGAAATACAGCACATATAGAACAATTTAGGACTATCCATAACCCCATCACTAACAAATAATTAATTTTCTATCTCGTTACTATCATCACAAAGAGTTCCAACATTACTTTTAATTTTCGACACTGAATTTTCAATTTTATCACTTACAAAAATATCATTTCACTATGTTTATCAAATTTTCCCACTTGCATGTTTTATGCATATTTCAATTTAATAAAAAAATGATTTCAACTAATAAATAAAATTCAAAATATTTTATATTTTTTACATTTATAATCAAATACAATATATATACATATAATACAATTTACCCTTCAAAATTATAAGAAAATAAATAAACATTTGATCCGCAACTCAATAATAACAATAATAATAATAATAATAATAGCCGCAAGTCTTTAATGTAATTAGACTGGGCTACTAATAGTAATCAAAATAAACAAGCTAATCAATGTCTGCTAATTAAGCCAAGGGAACAATAAATAATAATATGGGTAAATTAGTTAACTACTCCCTCCGTCCCAAATACTCTGCAACATTTTTTTTATATATGTCCCAAACGCTCTGCAATATTTCCAAAATAGAAAATAATTAATTATACTTAATCTCTACTCCACACTTTATTCTCTCACATCATCCAAATCAAAAAATAAAATATATATTTGTCTCTATATCACATCACCTCATTTCTAAATTATACTATTTAATACTACCTATCTAAAAACCCGTACCAAAAGTAAATATTACACATTGTTTGGGATGGAGAAAGTAGTTAATTAAATTAGTTTGTGCCCATTAATGATTTAATTTAGTCAAAAATAGCAAACAACATTTACATGGCATGTCGTGTGTATTCAAAAACTTGGAAGTGGCTAGAGGAGCTCATTAATTAAAGTTAACCAGTAAAGTGCAGAGATTAATTATATGTAAGGTCAGTTTCTACTATTATGCATTTATATTATATTATACCTCTCCGTCCAGATACAGTGTCTGCTACACGGTAGAGAAGGAGGGGTATAATTAATAGATAATTAAAAATGTATTAGTAAAAATAATTATTCTGTAATATAAATAATTATAAATTAAGATTAAGATAACTAATTAATTTAATCAAAATTAAAAAAGAAAATTAAAAAATTTAAAATGAGATTAAAGTGTGTAATCATTTTCCAAAAAAGGAAAGTGACATAGTATGTGGGACGGACAGAAACAACAACTTTGGACATAGTATTTGGGACGGAGGAAGTATTATATTAATTAATATTTTTAAACTGAGATCATTTATTACATTTTGTGTCAGAACTATTATCATAGCAAAGATTGGTAAGTACGGTGCCGATGACTAATGTATATATAGTGTGCCGCCCTATTTTACAAAGTACATATTCATACCAAACCTATTTCCTAGATTCCTAGAAACAAACATCTCTTTCTTAACCAGGAAAAGAAGAAGAAAAATAAGATAAAGCATTATGTATTACTAATAGTTATCCCTTTATTGTGTTCTATCATCCCTCCAACCTCTCTCTATAAATGCCCTCATTCTACTCTCAAGACTTTGTAAGTAAAAAACAAAAGATAGAGAAGCAGCAACAGTAAGAAGAAAATGGCGGCGAAAAATGCTTCAGCGCAAGGATTTAGTAAAGAAGAAAAAGAAAACATGGCAGTATGGCTTGTTGGTCCTAAAACCCTCCAAATTCAGCCTTACAACCTTCCCTCTCTTGGTAATAATTAATCATTCATATATATACTCTATGTTTTTTCAATTCATCAATTTAATTTTATACATGTATGTGTTGATTCGAATGAATTAGGGCCTGAAGATGCAAGAATCAGAATCAAAGCTGTAGGGATTTGTGGAACTGATGTTCACTTCTTCAAGGTAATAATTTTATATTTACTGTTTGGATTTGATCACAATTAGATAGATAGATGTGACGACTATTGATTTTTTCAGGAGTTGAAAATAGGCGATTACATAGTAAAAAAACCGATAGTCCCATGCCACGAGTGTGCCGGAATAGTCGAGGAAGTCGGGGCCGGCGTCAAGCACCTGTCGCCGGGCGACCGTGTGGCCATCGAGCCGTCAATAGGGTGCTGGCAGTGCCACAGCTGCCGCCAAGGAAGATACAACATCTGCCCCGAGTTGAAGTTCTTTTCCATTCCCCCTGTCAATGGCGTCCTCGCCAACCGCATCGTCCATCCCGCCAAAAATTGTTTCAAACTCCCCGACACATTGACCCTCGAGGAAGGCGCACTGTGTGAGCCCCTCAGCTGTGCAATACACGCTTGTCGACGCGCCAACATAGGTGTCGAGACCAATGTATTGATTGTTGGGGCCGGCCCGATTGGGCTCCTCACAATGCTTGCGGCTCGGGCTTTCGGATCCCCAAGAATCGTGGTCCTCGACATCGAGGATTCCCACTTGGAAGTGGCTAAGAATCTTGGGGCTGATGGCGTTGTCAAGGTTTCGACAAATATTGATGTATGTAAATTTTCTTGACAAAATTGTCGGCATAATTTTTTTTTATAACATATAGTTCTGTGTAGATTGTTAAAATGTGTTGTTAGTTCATACTTTTTAACATGTACTTTGTGTTAATATCGATCATGGCATGTGTTGTATTACATATGCTGTATGGATTATGATAATGTGCTTTATATCCCATATGTTGATTAAATTGCTACCTAATTAACTGATTGAATCATTCTCTTTTAGGACGTGGAAAAAGAAGTAGAGAAAATTAAGGATGCCATGGGTGCAAGGATTGATGTAAGTTTCGATTGTGTAGGGCTTAGCAAGACAATTTCGACGTCACTACAAGCCACGACATCAGGTGGAAGGGTTTGTCTTGTCGGATTAGGGCACGCCAATATGACTGCACCTCTAACCGGAAACGTCGCAATAAGGTATCTACGTATCAATATTGGTTCGATTACAGTGCTGATTTTGAGAAAATGAACACGGCACTAATTTCCTCAACTAGCACTGAGATCAAGAGTTTAGAAAGTACCCATTAAAATTTGAGAGAACACATTATTTATGTTAATATAAATACAACATACTTCTATATAGCACATGATACCGTGATGATTTTCCTAAATATCACCAATTCAAAAGTTCAAAAATCATCAAACATCATTTATATAATAAAAATATAACATAAGAACTAAGAACACATGACACTGTAATGATTTTTCAAAATATCACCGATTTAAAAGTCCAAAAGTATCGATCAAGAGTTCATAAAACACACAATTTTGCATATAGCCCATGTTCTTATATATAGAGCACGTGGAATCTGAAGTTTTCATCAATACTTTTTGGAGTTTTGATAGATATTGTTTTGAAAACTTAACACGGTTTTATTTTTCTAAATTAACACCGTATAAATATATATTTGAAGAAATATAGTTTTACTTTTATATTTATAGCCAATTATTATTCTTATATTGTATGATAATATATTTTTAATTATATTAATCTAATGTAGTATTTTTTAAAAATAAATGCTTTTATTTTTTAAATTTAGGCCATTCGATGGGTTTGGAATATGAAAATATTCCTCCTAAGAGATACGTAAATATATGTAATGTTAATTTTTAGTTTTTCTTATAAAATCAACCTGAGTTTTGAAAAAAGTACACCATCTTTAGAGTACTTTAATTCAAGAAATATTTACTTACCTTTTAGCTAAAAACATATTTTGTATATACAAATTATATTATACATACATTAAAAAAATAATAATTTAGGCCCCCCTTTTTTTTTTGTAGGGGTGTTCTAGTCGAACGCCCCTTTTGCCCTTGCCTAGGGCGAATTCCGAATTAAATATATATATCCAAGATTAAATTTTCAAATTTTGTTGTATGTCTACATATATTTTCAATGTCTAATTATTTTATTGTACGTCTACGAGATTATTTTTCGATGTCTAATTATTGCGCCTATGTAATGTATGTATAAATTTCAGAGAGGTGGATCTTGTGGGAACATTCACCTACACAAACACATGGCCATTGGCGATCGAGCTTATAAGGAGCGGGAAGATAGACGTGAAGGCGTTGATCACACACAGATTTGGGTTCTCCCAAAAGGAGGCTCAAGAAGCTTTCGAAACGAGTGCATATGATGGCAATGCAATTAAGGTCATGTTCAACCTCTAATATATATATATGGAACCAAATTAATGAGACACCAGTTGGGCTGTCTTCATAACCAACAAAACAGCTGCTGCTCTATCAATAAATTCTTTATAACTCCTACTATATACTTTATTGTTTTACAATTTCTACATCAAATAGGATCTAACTTTAATTCTTCATGTAGTTTAAATTTCATGTCAGTACTGATTATTCGATTTTTATTTTTATCTTTACAAAAAATTATTACTATTTTATAAGACAAATGTCAAATTTTATGCCACATTATTTATTGCAAACTTGTGTGGATTAATTTTTATATTTTATTTTTAGAAAATAAGTTAGGTCTAAATTTTATGCCAAATGTTTTTCTAAGTCAAATTACGCCTCAAGTTAATTAGGTGGTCCAAAATTATGCATAAAATCAAATTTCATTGCGCATCCCAATTTTTAAATAAGGAAATTTAGAGTGTGTTTGTTTGGGTGATTTGATTATGTGTGTTGATTTTAATAATAAAATTTTGAATTTGAATAGTTATTTGATGGGATATATATAAATCAATGTAATATTTTGAATATAAAATTAATTTTTAGTTAATATAAAAAAAAATATTTGATTTATATTTTTGAAAGAAAAAAATTCATCAATATTTTAAAAAAAAAAATCAAATCATCGAAAATTAAAAATTGATATTTGATTTAATGTATTTAATTCCACGCTACCCGAAGGTGTTCGCTGGGTTAAGCCCATGCCGAACCTAATACCCTCCAAACTATGTCCGACAAGGCAAATCACACTAGGCGAACTATGTGCGGCAGGTGGACCTCGAGGCGTCGACTATCATTTTGCTCTTTTAATTAGATGGTCTCTAATTTTAATGTAGTAATTGCGGCTCTATTAGTTATGTTTTCAATTTAGTTTTCGTACTATTCAAATGAAAATCATTTAAATATATATATATATTTATATTCCATTCAATATTTATTTACCTCATATAAAATACTTCACTTTTATTTTATCTTATTTTATTTTTAATTATGATTTCCAAAACTCCATAGTACTTCTAAAGTAGATCCAAACCCATCCAAGCTTATTTTTGCCATTTGGTATTTTAAATAATGCTCACGACCCGTACATGTACTCACATTAATTGATTGGAATTAACATGGACCTACACATTCAAATTCTGATTCCCAACACAAATATTTTTATATACGTGAAAAGAGAAGAAAAGTATGGGTTTGTTCTTTTGTTCAAATCTAAAATTAAAATTATTCACTTTATAGTTTTAAATAAAAAATATATTATTTCTTCTCATAAAATATCATATTGTAATATTATTTAAACAACATATTCAAATCAACATTATATTTCAAAATCAAGTTCAAGATAAAAATAAAGATAGAAAAATGCAAAAATTTTAAAGCTTGAGCACAAGAAATTGAGCCTAAAACAATTACAAGAGGGAAGAGCTATGTATTTTTGGACAAAAAAAAAAAAAAAAAAAAAAAAAAAAAAAAGAGAACAAATAGGGAAATAGACCATTTGAAAGAGAGAGTGTGTGTGTGAGAAATATATGAATAAATAGAATGATATGACCAGAGTGGTCTCGAATTTTTTTAGGGTTACGAACAAAATTTCAATAGTAGGACCGATTATTTTTTTTTTCGAAATATTATAAACGATAAATATAATAATAAATTATATGAAAGTAAAAATTATATTAATAATATCTCCAATAAATAAAATATACTAACTCAATAATAGTAACACTACTACCACCACCAATAATAATAGCTACGAATTCTAAAAACATAGGAAGATGAGATTAGTTTTAGAGAAAATATAGTTAGAGTTAAATTTTACAATTAAAATTGAATTTAGCAATTATAAAGAAAAATATAGAATAAAATTTAAATTAAATTTTAATATATTCAATAATAATTAAATAAAATATAAAAATATGGACCCTCTTAAAGTAGAGGTCCTGAGCAATTGCTCATGTTGCTACTGCTAATAGCGTCTAGATTAAACACAAGACAAGATGTACATAAAAGCAAAAAATGTGGCAAAAAAAAAAAAAAAACACATTTAGAAAGAAGATTTAAAACTTGTTATCTTCTACTATCATTTAATAGACATGTTTATTTTATAAAATTATTTTTCCATTTGGTTTTTTATAGATTGTGAATGTTGGGTTTAATCCCAAAGTAAGTCATGGCGGAATAGGACCAAACAGGCCAAAGAATCTATTTGAAAAGATGGCCCATGTGGGCCAAAAGAATTAGTGAGAAGAAGAACCAAATGATAGGAGAACTTAAGAAAAATGTAAACTTTTATTTAAGAGAGATTAATGTGAGGAAGTTACAAAAAATAAGAGGTAATGTGTGAAAATTAATGAAGTCCTTTGGAATAAAAATAAAAGAGATTGAGGATGAAACAAATGACCAGCCAAAAATTAAAACAAAGTAGGTATTTTTTTTAATATATCATATGAGTTGTACTTTTTAACAACCTACTAGTGTGATTCAAGATCATACTAGGATTGAAACCCAAGCTTCTTTACATGATTCAGCTCTACAAATGTCTTATTTCGGGCCAACTATTTGAAATAAGAGTATAGTTTTTGGGGTGGAAAAAACACCTATTTGAAATGAGATAGTATAGTCAAAATGAGGTACATTCTTTATTCCAACCATCAAGAAAGTAAGTTTTGTTTCTATTACATTGTTGCCACTCCAATGTGGGTAGGAGCTGACATGGTCCTGATGTGGCTGATATGTCATCGCTACGTAGATGCCACGTCAGCAATATGTGTAACTTTTTTATTTTTTATTTTACAAAATATCTTGGTAAACTATTTTTTTAGTATCGTATATGATATCATTTATCATTTTTAGAACTTTAAATGGATTGTGTCTGAAAATAATCTTGCAAGTAAATTTTTTTCGCTAAAATAATCATTCGACGTGGCATCTACGTGGCGATAACATGTTAGCTGCATCAGCGCCACGTCAGCAACGGTGGGCCAGCTTGGTTAGTCCGGCACCTGAGGACCATTTTCTTACGGGATTATTTTCAGACATGGTCTACTTAAAGTTTTAAAATAATGAAGGAGGTTAATACAATACTAAAAAAATAGTTTATCCAAATAAATAAGATGAATAGGTACCGGCTATAGAAAAAAAGGGTTTCTTAAAAAGATGACCAAGTAAAATATAGTTTGAGAACTCCTATATTTACAACATGTAAAAGTTTTCAAAACTCATAAATATAGAAACATTTGAAAACACCTAAAATATTAAACATAGAAGTTTTCAAAATTCTTACTTATTCTTCCAACTACCTTGTGTCACTGTTAATGTCATAAAAATTGGGGAATTATGTTTTCTCAAAATTCCTATAGTTTTTATCTTAGAAGTTTTGAAAACTTTTTTATATAAGGTAGTTCTCAAAACTCTTATATTTTTAATTATAGAAGTTTTGAGAATTCCTACATTTTTAATTTCAATTCATACCGTTTTAAATGATTTTGTTTCATAGTGGACTAAATTATTTTATAATTTTATACAAAAATTTATTTCATATTGTTAGTGGGCTATTTTGTTTATAATATATATTTGTTGTTTTATTACAATATTATTTTTATATGATATTTATTTTGGCATTATTTTTAAAAAGTTAGTTGTTTAGCGTTAATGCATTTGTTTGTATTTTATAACATCTTAGGGTGTTTACTTTGAAAGATTGCATTATAATACTAACGATTATTTCAATAGATTAAATAATCAAAGGATTAATTAAAATAATATTTTTTTTGGTAGATTAAATAAGAGATAAAATTATATTATGTTTACTTTGTTAGATTATATGATATGATTAATTTTTCTTTTTACCAAAAATACCCTTCATAATCATATAATAAATTATACTACCTCCGTTCGGCTCTAAGGGTTTCATTACTTTTTGTGTATTGATCTTTGAATGTTAATTATTATATCAAAATGTAGTACAAATTAAGAAAAAAATGTAAAAATACTTTCATTGGTGTCTTATGATACTAATAGAAGGATATTTGTACAAAAAATTATACAAATACAAGGATATTTTTAATATTAAATATTATGACGCAAAGCGTTAATGCGACCCTTAGAGCGGACGGAGGGAGTATAATTTATTTTATACATTTTTTTTCTTTCCAACTATAGAAACATAATATATAACAATCCATTAAAATTTTTAATTTTGATATCATTATAAATATATATATAATTTGATATAATATTTTTTTATTATAAATTAAATATATTTAATTTTATCTTCAAAATTATGAATTAGCTTTTGGCAATATAATATATCTCATTCTTATCACTTTATATTTCGTTGATTCAGATAAATATATATAGTTTCTTTTCAAATGAATTCAAAATAAATTTTAAATAAACATTAAACAAAATTATTTTTATTATATTTATATAAAATAATTCTAATATTCTTTACTATAATTTTTTATCAAATAAATTATTACAAACACTCAACAAACTCATAATACTAAAGTGTAAGTCATTGTCATTGATATTTTCATACATTCACATATGTTCAGTACTTCGTTATATATATATTTTTTTCAATACTTGCATATATAGTTAATGAATTACTGCAAGAGTGAAGAAAATGAAATGTACAGGGCAAGAAAAAATATTAAGACTACGGATGGTTTAGTAATTGTATTAAGTTGTATTAAATAATATTAGGTTGTTGGATTAGATTAACAATCCTATAAATTGATATTAGTGTATCGGTCATGCGATTATCTCGAGATCGAATACATTAAAGTAAACATGATTGTTTGTACAAGCAAAACCTTAAAACCCCTTTATGCTATTTTTGGCAATGAACAGACATGCTGACACGCTGTCACAGCTACTATGTAACACAGTTTTGGCACTGTCCGGTGCTCTGTTCGTGGAATCAGGTTTGCAATGGTCAAACCTGCTGTGCATTCAATGCTTTGAGACAAAGGAATTTGTCTTATGTGGAAGAGGAAATAGGACATAACAAATGACATCTCATTTGTCATGCATGACATTAATTGCCTTTATAC